TTGGAACGGGGAATCAATGGGTGCAAATTTGGGTTTATTCTCACCTAACCGAAGCCAAACAATCAAATTGTGCCCATACCCCATGGTATACCAAATCAAAGATCCTCTCTCAATAAATTCTCTTTTTTAGGCAAGATGGGGAAAGCACTAACAAAGTATAGGGGTTTGAGGAAAAAGTTTTAAGTAATTGGAATTGTAAGATAGAATTTTAAAATATAGATTTTTATTAAAATGCAAAGAAAAAAGTATATATTAGGGATGGAGAGGGGATGTGGTCCATTTGGACATGAACAATTGCATCTTATATCTACTCTTTGTACTTAAAATGTAATTGTCCACTCAGCTTATTCTCTCTTCTCATATTGTTCATTGCAACAACAAGAACAGAGGGAGAGATAAATGAAAACCTTAAGGAGCTTCAAAAAGCAGTTGAATTGCTCTTTTGCATTTCTTTTAGGCCATTGTCAAGCACTTGATTTAGCTTTTGCTTAAAGTGTTTGTTGGACGCCATGGACACCAACACTCCTAGGCAAAGTCATACAAGGGAATGTTAGTCCCTCTTTACTCTTAGAATTTTGTTTTTTTTTATTATTATTGAATTAAGAAAAATAAACATGGGGCTTTTTAAACTCACCCATAACCAAATGCAATCACTATGTAACACTAGCTTGTGCATTACACATGTCTCTACTAGTCTATTCTATATATTATTGTCCATGTCAGCTTAATCCCCCCCCCTCCGGGTTAATTTTTGTGTTTTTTATCAAATTTTTAAAAATAAAATCAACAACCATGTATTTAAATTCACTTACAAATAATTCAATTTCCATTTTATCAGGAAACTGAATGCAATCACTGCCCTATTGAACATGGGCATCCTTTAACACCAACCTCTACATTTACATTTCATGAATCTCCTCTATAGTTAGATACTTAAAATGTACCTGACTATATTAACTTATTCTCTCCTTCTCATATTGCATGAATCATTTGCAACAAGAGGTATATTGTACTATCATGAGATTATTTGGTCATTTTGTTTCTCCAAAACTCAAGTTTTGAACTATTTCCATTTCTCTTCTTTCTATATGAACAAAAAGGTTTAAAACTTTGATTTTAGAAATACAATAAAAGAGAAGGCAAAATGGTCTCATAAGGGTATTATCTAAAATTCATCTTCACTGTTTTTTCAATTGTCTTAAACTCACATTGACTTTATGAAATCTCGAGAGAATCCCATGTCAAAGATATTCCGTTAGTAAATTGGATGATTTTTGCAAAATTACCATTCTAACCCAAAAGACCCTTTTCATTTGCTCGATAATTGACATGAAGGACCTTCCGGAAAGCAAGCACAATGGGCGCTTGTGGTTAGTCACTTGTTCCTTAAAATCTTCCTCAAAAGTGTTCTCTCAAAATGGGGTGCCATTCATGTACTAAAGAAAGGTTTATGATCTCCGGTAGAAAATGAGAAATTGTTCAACCATATAACAAAATCAGTCTTTGATCCTTTTGTTTGAATTCCAAACATGTATTAATATCATTTGAACAATTCCTGTTCGATTGGAACCATCCAACCTTTTGCATCAACATCACTGAGATCTCAGACCTATCAACCAGACCCATTTGGCAACCAACCTTGATTTCAGGTTTACTTGGATGCCTTAATTAATTAATGTGACTGAGATAAGAAAACAACTAAACTCCATGGATGAACAACCTATTCTACAGCGAAACAAAGGAAAGCTCTAGTGACAATTCCGGCAAAAGCAAACAAGTAGAATTTTTGTAACATAGCCAGCAATGCAGATTTTGTTGTGACTTTGCTAGGACCAGATTGGAACCTGTTTTCTGGTTTCATTTCAACGGTATCAAATCCAAAGAATTGGAAAGATGATGAGCACCAATAAACACTAAGTTGAGATGATTTCAGTAGCTTCCATTGACGTTGCTGTTGGAGGACCTAACTTGAGCAGGTTAAGATGATTTCAGTACTGATTGAACTAGGAGAGTTTGAACTCTCATCGAATGACATTAAAGTCTTGTTTTCTTTTTGATAAATTATTTATATGGATACCTGTTATGTTCTTTTATTTTCCAGGTAAACAGTATAATGGCCATTTTAGCCATAAAAATCAATTATTAAATGAGCATTTTGTTTCATTCAAGTATTGATGACTTTCTCCCAGGTGGAAAAATTATTTATCCACCTACGAGGGTAGATATCATTTACCCAGTGATATCCGAAAAAATAAAATTTTCCTAGTCTTCACATAGATCTGAAAAAAAAAAACATGAACTTCTTGATCAGTAAGAACCAAAATCCCATTAACAAAATCCCCGTAAAATCTGGTTTGACGGGGTTTTAGGAGTGACAACGGCACAACCACTTCTGCAACAATGAATCATACTGGGAAGTTCAGCAAAACTTGTTTTGCGCCATGCATTGCTACTCAGGGTTACTTTGGCCATTAAAAATATTTAATGGCCTCAATGAACAACGGTTATGGTCAGTAAATGTGATTAAACGGAAGGTGAGTATTTAGAGACTTCAAAAAAAAGAAAAGGTGAGCTTAAGACAATTGGAAAACAGTGAAGAGGAGTTTCAAATAATTACCCTTTTATTTTTTTAATTATAGTGTTAAAATCTAAAAGTATGGAATAGCTCTATGTGGTAAACGAAACTTTGGGTACTTAATTATCACTACACCCAAGCTCCGAAGCACATGATAATTTTTTGGGGTTTTTATAGTTCAGTCCACTCCTAGGGTGGGGCTTAGATTTTTAGGGGTGGGTTGAATTTTGCCTTTAGATTGATGTTAAATTTATGGACAGGATGCGGTTTATAGAAAGATTATTATTAGATTAGGAGGGGATTGCAATTTTATATTTATGTGGTGGATTGCAGTCCATTTATCCCTTCTTTTTGGTACTATATCATAAAAAGGGAGAATGACGGGATTCAAATCGGAATTGATGCCAATTCGCAGTTGGACATTTGTGTAGAGTGGGGGATTTTGACATTTTGAATGTTTATAGGTCTGCAATAGAATTCAGAAATCTACATTGGATACGTTCAACATTTTTAACACTAGCCCGTATAACACGGAATTCGGTCCTCTTAGAGGGTGTTTGGTAGGGTTGCATTGTATTGCCATTGCATCTCAATTGATTTAAACAAATTTGTGAGAATTATATATTGCCACATTATTTATGAGTGTATTTCTATCATAAAAACATATTAAAAATATATGCATATTAATTTTTATTAATCAATTCAAACGTTTTCAAATAAAAAAAAAATCTCTCCTTTATAAATTTGTATTAATCAAATTCAAAGCAACATAACATAATGCCACTTTACCAAACAACTCCTAACTAAAATACAATGTCACTATGATATGGGAAGAACTCACAATCCATCACCAATCAGGTGCCCAGTGGTAATCATCAAAATTCACGGGACACTTTGATTGGTCAAAGCTGTACTTTCGTTAATTTCGACGAGGCACTTCTCTATGCCATCCCTACTCTTTAACCATAAAACGACTTGATTACTCGCGTTATCTGTATTAAATTCAGAGAGAGTGAATAGAGGAGTGACGCGTTCTTTGTCTACCACGTCACCACGTCACCACATCAATAAAAAGTAATATTTTTATAAAATAATTAAAATAGAGTAACTTTCATAGAAAAATATAAAAAAGGGGCATTTATCCTGTTCATCGTCTTTCTTTGCTGCTCTGTCAAGAGGAAGACGATGGAAGGATATTTTTGCCCTGAATAAGGGCAGTGGTTGTGTTCATCATCTTCTTTTTCTTTTTTCATCCAATGAAATATTTTACATCAATCCCAATTCGTTTGAGAACAGTGGGCCATTGATCTTATATTCGTTTGAGGGCTCTGTAATAATATTGAAATATTGCAATTTTTCTTGTACTTTCACATAGCATTACATTTACACATTGGGCTGCCTAATAGTTCGAGTTACTCCACGTACACGAAAACCAAACGATATGGTGGGAAACAAAAATATTGTTGTAGGTGTGGGTACCCAGTATTGGATACCAACTCCCGTATAGATATTCATCGGCTACACCTATTTTTCGTGTCACCTCTGCAAGAAAACCTTCAACCATTATAACAACCTTCAATCACTGCCTTATTCAGGGCAAAAATATCATTTCACCGTCTTCTTTTTAAAAAAGCAGCAAACGAAGATGATGAATAGTATTAATGCCTTTTTTTGATATTTTTTTAAAAAAGTTACCCCATTTTAATTATTTTATAAAAATATAACTTTTTATTGATATTCGGAAGAAAAAAATGCCTTAGAAACCCTTTTTTTGTTAATCATTCATAACTTTTTCCCTTTACCCTTTTTTCATCCCAAAGTACTGATTGCGGGACTTGATTCAGCATCATGCATTACGAAGAAGGAATGTGGGTAAAAGAGTAATTACACGAAATATTGTTTGGATTAAAAAGACAAATAAGGGCTGAATGATTTGACATTTCATGCCCAGCGACGTTCCTCTCTCGACAACCAAGGGTTAATTAATGTATAACTACATCGAGATGTCCCGCGTCATAATGAAGGCCTGCTGTATCACTGAACTGAATGAGTAACCACAACGAGAGCGCCACGTGTCCAGATGAGATGTTCTTGTCAAAATTTCCAAGTGGTAACTGCGAACGTCAAGGTCAAGCGTTGGATGATCGTCCACGACGGCCTCACAACAATTAACCACAGAATTCACTCCAATAACGACTTCGAAACTGGTATTATCATCGGGAGATATTTTCAATACACGGAGGAAAAATGTACTGTCGAACGTTGTGGGGCGCAGATGTAAACTCCCGTGGGACGCAGAAGTGAATTCCTAACCATAGACCATAGCTAAAAATCTAACTTCATTTCTTCGTAACCGTGGTTAAAATAGCCCAGGGGTCAGGCCAGCTCTTTTTCCCACCAACCAACACTCTATAAAACGAGTGAACCCGCTTTCCTTTAAGCTTGTTCTGGTGAGGTGATTAGAAAAGAGGCGAGAAGCAGCTATCAAACCTCTTTAAGGCGAAAAAAATATGGCCGTGTCCAGCTGCGCTAGGGTTATTCCGTCGTTCGAATGCCGGTCAGATCCCGATTTTTCCGGCAATCCACGGTCGGACAAGCCGAGTTTTGGCAGCTTCTCCGGCAAGGCCAAGTCGTTTCCGATCCGTGGTTTGGCCGGAGCATCGTGCGGTTCGGCGGGCCTGTCTTCTCTGATTTTCAAGTTCCCTCCGAATTTTGTCCGGCAGCTTAGCATCAAGGCCCGGAGGAATTGCAGTAACATCGGTGTCGCCCAAGTTGTCGCAGCTTCGTGGTCAAACCAACCGGCATCTGTTCCTGCTACTTCCACGGCCGTCAATGCTACTCCTGCGGTCGATGTTGCCGCGGCGGTGGTTGACGGTGATTGTTGTAACAATACTGATGTACAGTTTTCCGGTTTGGTCGATTCGAAGGCCTCATTTTTGTGCTCCGATGGGACTGTCGCTGTTCATGCCGGTGATTACTCATCTTTCTCTCACTCTCCCCTCTCTTTTTATATGCACTTGCCAGACAAAATGCTCTAGATTTCTGGTTGTATTTTCATGATTCAATTCATTTTAGTTTCTCTTATATTTTTCCTTTCCCTTTCTAGAATTTTCTATAGAACATTATTGTGAATCATGCTTCCTCGTGTATGATTTGTTTTTCTACTTTCTGTTCTAATTTTGGAAGAGATCGACTATCCATCCTATTGTTTTTGATTGGTCATTCTTCTAAGTTCTGTTAGCATGATGATGTGGATCCTGCTGACATATCTTTGGAATATCACCATAAAGCCATTGCTTTTCCTTCGGTTTCTTCAGGTGAAAGGTTAGGTCGTGGTATAGTCACCGATGCAATCACCACCCCGGTTGTCAATACTTCTGCTTACTTCTTCAAGAAAACGGATGACCTCATTGATTTCAAGGTATGTATCATACTGCCTTTGCAGTCTTTTGTTGATATGAAGTGTTGGTACTCTTTGTTCTTATGCATCCAACTGCATAAAAAGTTAGCGTAACTTACCGCAGCTAATTGATCTTTTGAACCACCACTAAACAATAGCATTTTTTTCATTGTATATTTTTTTTTGTTTGTCAGCACTGTCACTTGTTTTCATGAATGTTAGAGCTAATATAGTTTTCTTTTTGATCTTGTGATAGGAGGGACGCAGTGCAAGTTTTGAATATGGGCGTTATGGAAACCCAACTACGGTGGTGGCAGAGGAGAAGATTAGGTATGGCCTGCTTCTCAATATGCATGTTTATTGTTTTTGCATTGGATTCTTTGGCTAAATACTTAGTGAGGCCTATTGTCTTGTTCTCTGGAGCAGTGCACTAGAGGGGGCTGAGTCAACAATGTTTTTGGCTTCTGGAATGTGTGCTAGTACGGTCATGCTGATGGCATTGGTTCCTGCTGGTGGGCATATTGTGACTACCACAGATTGTTACAGGAAGACTAGAATGTTCATTCAAAAAATACTTCCCAAAATGGGGATCCGGGTAAGTTTCTTATTTGTTTTGTTCTTTATTATCTTGAATGCGTTATGAGACCTTGATTTTTATATTTAAGTTGAAATGTGAATAATGATTCATGATTCAGTGTATAACACTTCACTGAATAATTGTCTATCATTTGTTGGCTTAAAATCTAGACAATGAAGAAATTGTAAGCCTTTTCTTTTCATTTTTCCCCAATGGATGATTAAAATAGTGGGGCTGTTGCATAAGTGCACCCTCATCTCATCGCCACTCTTCCAGCTAGCTGGCTGGTCTGGTTTCCAGAATATTTGCTGAGGCTTTTTTTTTTGGTATTTGTGCTCTTTTGTTTTCGACCATTGTTGTTAAAATCTTATGATTTATAATACAATTCGTGATTTGAATCTTATGTTTGAATCCTTCTCTGCAAAGTTTTATGTTTTTTTGTTTGAATCCTCTAATTTGATTCGTGAGTCTTACAATTCATATGGTTCATGTGATTCAGATAAATTCAATTAAGAATTAGTTCTCTACATTTCTTTGTTTCTATTTAATTTTGTTAAGGGATATACTAGAAAATAATTTATTTAGTTTTTTTAAGACCAAATATTGAGTTCATTTTCTATCATATGTATGTAGGTTAAGAAACCACTGTATGTGGATTGTTTAACTTTCATGTCATATTTGATAATGTTCAACCGGTTGGTTCTATTGTTTTGTAGGAATTGTTGATAGTGCTCTTGGTAGTAGTAATGTAACTGTTGTTGTTCTGTAGTGCATGTTACAATTTCCATTCAAAACTTTTCAGATTTTTGAGTTTCTTTCTCTACTCGGTTCCTATTATATTGTTATCCTTAATTTTTATTAATACCAATCTGCAGGCAACTATTATCAATCCTGCTGATATGGATGGACTGAAATCTGCCCTGGACAAGAATGATGTCAGTAACCATTATATTGCTTAATTTATTTGTTGAATTCTTATTTTTTCTGTTTGCCATCTTGGAAGAGTCCCACCTTACCTGATGGCATTGTTTCTTGCAGGTATCTCTTTTCTTTACAGAATCCCCAACCAACCCGTTCCTCTACTGTGTTGATATTGAATTGGTTTCTAAGCTTTGTCACAGCCGGGGTGCACTGGTGTGCATAGATGGAACTTTTGCAACACCTTTGAACCAGAAGGCTCTTGCCCTTGGTGCCGACATTGTTCTGCACTCTGCAACAAAATACATTGCTGGTCACAATGATGTACGATATTCCTGCACTTAGTGCTGTATTTATTGTTAAAAATTACTTGCTATTGTGATGTGAAATAAAAGTTTTGTGACAAATGAACATGATTTCCAGGTTCTTGGAGGTTGTATTAGTGGTTCTGCAAAACTGGTTTCCGAAATCCGTACCTTGCATCACATTTTGGGTGGTACGCTAAACCCGGTAAGCTATAAATATAGTTGTTACCATGGCTACTGCTATATTGTCCATAGCCAGGAAATCCATGTAGTCATGTTATCTTAAGTGCCTGATTGGGAAGGCTGAAGTGCAGCAGCTTCTGGCTTTGAGATGGGCTCTACACAGTCTTTAAGTTATCTTTGGTGAAAGACCCAGAGAGCCTAAATCAGTTGTCGGTCATTTTTTGGGCTTTCTACTTCAGCCTAGATAATGTATCTGGGTTTTTCAGCTCATGTAATGCCGGAAGCAGCTGCATGAAAGCCCTCCCAAATGGATGCTTGTTGAGTTAATGTTTAGCTCAGTGGCCTCAAACAGGCCATAAATGTTTGAAAGAAGAGCGGTTGATCTGTTTGAAGCTTATATTTGGAACTCCATGTAAAGTGCTGAAGTGATGTATCTAACAAAGTAGTGGTGGTTGCTTATTTGTTTTGTATATTTCCTAGCTTTACTTACCCCATTGCAAGTACACATGCTACTTGAACATGCATTGTAATAACTCTGATCCTATTATGATATTAGAATGCCGCGTATCTGATCATCCGAGGCATGAAGACACTGCATCTTCGTGTACAGCAGCAAAATTCAACAGCATTGAGGATGGCCGAGGTTTTAGAGGCACATCCTAAGGTACTTGAAGAGTCTATAAAGCTAAATGCATAATATCTTTACTAAATGCTTAGTTGTTAATTTATTTGTTGTAGCTTCAATGATCCTATTTAAATTAATCATATAATTTTTCTCTCTTGTCTTTAAAAAACTATAAAAATCAGATCTTTCTGTAGTCTAGGTAGTCTTTATTTGGTTTTGATTAAGTGACACATGTATTAAATTGTTAATCTTTTTTTAAAAGATACACAAGAAACATTGGCCCACATAAAATATAGTTTAAAAACCTTATATTTGCCAGAAAGGGATGCAAACTTACATATTCTGCTTAGCAGAAGCAGGCGACAAACACCATTACAACACCTTTATGGATAAAGGTGAAGCTTTTGGTTATGTATCCTTATGGTGGCTATTCACAGTAGGATGAACCAGAAGTTTATGCAATTCCATATCTTTTTCTAGTCCCTTGGTAATGTAGGGTTATAATCTAAAACGTTGCAGACTGAAGAACTGTTCCTTGGGCTTGGATATGGTTCTTTGAAGGTAGGCGATGGGCTTGGGTATGGATTTGGATTTGGGTTTAGGTTATTAGAGTTGCATGATGTGACTTAAAATGATTTCTGAGCTTGAATACAAGCAAACTGCATAGTTATCCAGTGTTAAGGAAAGTGAAGAAATTAAAAGAGATTATTCCTAGAGGATGTCTTGGAATAATAAATTGTAAGGAGTGATCGAATATATTAAGGTTCTTAGTATGTTTTCCACAAAAAAAAAAAAGAAAATTCTCATTTGTGAAGTAAACCTGGGAATCTTGAAAACCAGGGTTCTAGACTTCCATGTAATTCCCGAGATTTTTGGGAGGTTAGCACCACCTATAGCATGGGCGGTTCATTGAGGTCCTTGCTTAGTGCTGTCGTAAAACCTCAGTGTGACAAGCATGAGACTGGGCTTGAGTACAAGAGTAGCCACCTCGGGCAAAAAATGCTGAAGGTTAAGTGTATATTCAGCCAAGCCCTCCAGAGGCCCTGCATACCCAGTATGTTTATATGTACGAGGATATCATATCTGCAATTTTAGTGTTTTTTTTTTTTAATTTTTTGTATTTATACCTGTAAATAAAATATGACTTAAGGAAAGAGCAATGTTCAAAGAACCGGACCGAATATAGAACCAGAAAGGGGAGAGGTTCAAACACGGTCAAACAGGAGGTTGAACCATGATGATGTGGCATACCGCATATACATATACGTAGTAATTGACAAGGGTTCAAACCTCCTAACTCACATCACATTTTCTTTAAAATACATGTACTAATGTAATGTGTACATTAAAGAATCATTAGTGAACACATAATAAATTAATGGTAACAAGACATTATGCATGGAGAAAAAAGGTTATGAGTTAGAATCTCATCATTTGTTAAAAATTCCAAACATTTGAGACCTGGGTGGTTTTATGTGGGCTCGGATATGCTATCCACTACTTGTTCCCACATCTCAATCCACATGACATAACAGTTGCGCATTGGGATTATCTCCCTTTTCATTCACAGGGAGATGTTCCCAATACCGGGACGGCGGTGTTTGGTGGGTATAGGTGTGGGAACAAGTAGTGGGTAGCAGATCCGGAGTGGTTTTAGGAAACCTGGATTGCTTCACCAGTTTTCTACCTATTCCAGTTTCTACGGTATAACCGAATCAGATGTAGCTCCGGGTCATGGTTCAACCAGTCCCACCAGCTGGTATGGTCCGGTTTCCTAATCACTGAGAAAGACCATGTGGAATGTGCTTGATATCTGAGTGAAATCATTTAAGAGCAAAAAGCAAATTCTATGAGTAATATAAAATCCAGGAAAAAAGATTTGCAACTACTAAAAGGGTTATACCTCTCGCCAATCTCGTCTAGCCAAGTTTTGCAAGAAATAAGTGATTCTTCTTGGCATCAGGTCTGTTGACCTTTATACTGACAGAAATTGAATTGCAGGTGACACGTGTCTATTATCCAGGCCTGGCAAGTCACCCAGATCATCACATTGCCAAGAAACAAATGTCTGGCTTTGGTGGTGTTGTCAGTTTTGAGGTTAGCTAATTGATTGATGATACATGTCTGAGTGCAGAAATGCATCTATATGGGTTCTTTATTCTTTATGCTCCTTTGTATTTGCTCATGCAGATCGATGGGGACTTCGAGAAAACAAAAAAATTCATCGACTCCTTGAAGATTCCATATATTGCCCCATCGTTTGGAGGCTGCGAGAGCATTGTAGATCAGCCTGCACTCATGTCCTACTGGTATTCTTTCTGTAATCTATTGTCCACCGTCTTCTGTGTTTGAGAAAATAAAGGGAAAAGAAATATTTCCAGGAAATGAAAATCAAACATCCATCAGGAAAAAAGAAGAAAAGAACAAGCACTAAGGCTGCATTTGGATGCAATGTAAATCAAGAACCGATGTAAATTTACATCGGTTTGGGTCTGTATGTATTTGGCAAGAGGGTGTAATTATTGACGTAAAATTACACTCTGATTCAATTTTGCATGCTTTGGATGGAGAGTAGTTTTACGTCAACAATCGATATAAAATCTCATCAATTCTAAAGTTTTATAAAACTTTACACTCTTCCACCCATCACTATTTTCAAAAAAGCACACTGATGATATTTTACACTGATTCTAAACGCAGCTTAAATGAATGGAGTTAATGCCAAAATAGGATTCATCAAAAAACTTATAACGGAATAGTATTCATGTTGGGACAGGCCTTGTTTGAGATGATATTTTCTTTCTGTGCATGGAACAGGGATCTTAACCAAGCTGAGAGAACCAACGAATTTTCCATCAGGGACAACCTGGTTAGGTTCAGCGTTGGAGTCGAAGATTTTGAGGACTTGAAGGCCGATGTCCTCCAGGCTCTGGAGAATATATAGAACGTGTCATATCCATTTTTTTTCTCCTTATCCCCTGGCAATTTTTCTGGGACTCTTTTCTACCATTCTGATTAAGCGTTTAATCTTCCTGTTTTGTGTTTCAGCTTCGTCCAAATAAGAACCGAGAATGTAATGCCTATCGTTCTAATGTCTCAATTATTCCGTATTAGTTGTTTCCTTGTTATGGTGTTTCAATTGATCAGTCTGTTCGAATGAAATGGAAATCCTGCTAGGGAGCATTTTCTTACAACATGAACAAAACCAACAATGTTGCCTTAGTTCTGTCATTTATTGTTCACTCGTCATTTGACCTTCAGCGAGACTAGTCGAGTGGCACGTTGTTTGCCTTTGTGCAAACGACCTGATGGATGATGCCATTACAAGAATTGGCAGGCATTACATGGTAAAGTCGTAAAGATGTGGGTATTTGGGAAATCCATAAGCGTCAAAGTGATTATGAAGACCGTAGATGTGCAATTGTTCAGCTAATTTTAAGACTGGTCATGGAAAAATTCCAATTCATGCTTCCATCAGAGGAGTCTGCTTGTTGCCCTCGCCCGTCAGCCGTATCCCAGGTTGATGCGTATACGTTGAAGTTTCAGGCTTTCATTGAATATTATCTTTTTAAAAGAATGACGATATGGAAAATTGGGAAAGGTTTTCAGGGTTTCTTTTTATTATTTAATGATGAGCAAATAAAAAACGGACGAGCATGCACAGGCCTAATGCAGAATTCTTAATTCTGCTGTAACTCTAAACATTCTAAAGGTCAAAAATGCGCATTCCATGCATTCATATCTACCCGTGAATTGATATCAATTCCGAACTGGCACTTACTCTACATTCTCTCAATAAAAAAGGCTTTTAAAACTGTTTTACAAAAAATGAATTTGCTAATGCCTTTTTATAACTTATTAGGGTAAAATTACAAATACCCCCTCTACTATGGAGTTGTGACAAAGACCCCCTGTACTTTGTTTTAAGACAAAGACCCCCCCTGTATTATAATTGTGATACAAAGACCTTTTTCCGTTAGTTTTCCGTTGAAATCCGTTGTTGTAATAATTTTTAAGAACAATTGGAAGAAAAACAATGTTCATCTTCCCCGACCTCACGATACACAAACAGCAGCAATGATAATCTAGAGAGAGAGAGAGAAAGGGAAGAAGAAATCGGGGTCTACCATGGCGGATGCTGCCATGCCGATGATGGTGAAGAAGTGACCTACGCCGATACGCTGAAGCGGTGTCGACCTGCCAACTTGATCCACAAGGAAAATGGAGATGGCCGTGGAAAATAGTGTAAAGACCATGAAGGACCCAGCTGGGATTTCCATGTGCGACCAGACACGACGGTCCATCTTCAGAACTTCAATGATGGTTAGGCCGGCCTGGATGCCAATTGGGGTGCTTATACGGTGGGAGAATTCTGATGACGCCTTTTAGATCCTCCACCTGCTCCACTGTACATAGTCTCCATGGTTTTGCAATGGAGTCGTCTGGTCCAGTGTCTCCTTCCATTCTCAGTGCTGCACGGTTCAAGAACCTGCATGAACTTAACCTTCTGAGTTGTGTTGATTGCTTATTAATTGCTTTGGTGATGGGTGATGATCACCCTTAGCCCAACTCCAAGGGCTTAACTGGACTGTAACACATTACATTCCACTGCGTGGAAATGGAATGATCACTTATTTGGTTTGAGTTCAGGCTCATAAAGAGAGATTAATAAATTCAAAGTACTGCTGATACTTAATTGCAAATACTGCAGTTAGGAATATATATAGTCGGATAATGCTGATTGAAGATCTTACTTGAAGCTTCGAGTTGGAGTTGAATAGCCTGGAAATTCAAATTCTGTGGAAACCCCGCCGTATCCTAAGTAATAATCCTGTCTTTGAGATGATAAGGGCAGCTTGCGCTTCCGAATGGCTGCAACCAAACAAATACTTTGCACAAAAAGGGAGTCCAACTGTACATTTAACATACATTCATAGGCAGCAAGGTATCAACCAACTGATTGGCAAGATCTTCTGCTAGTTGTAGTGGAGACCTGGGATTGTATCTCACCTGCACCTGGGTTGGGGGATGGGCTACTCCATCAGGGGCGGAGAGAGGATATTTTTATGAGGGAGGGCCAAAACTTAAGGTAGATTGGGAGGAGGGGGGAGGGAGAATAAATATGGATGGTCATAAGGGGGTCAACCCATTGGGGTGGGGGGTGGGGGGGCGCATGGCTCCCTTGGGTCCCCTGGCTCCGCCCCTGACCCCCATTGTGTAGCCCTTCAGAAGATATCAGAAAAAAAAAACATACATTCATGGGAGATATTCCCAATGTGCAACTGGATAAAAATACGTGTATTGTACAATTCAAATGGGCCATTTTCATGGATTGAAATTGTTTAAGCTTTCAATCTTTGGATCACTTTTGGAAAAGGTATTACCTGTTGAATGACTTTGTCATAAACCTTTGTATTTAGTGCATCAGTGACTTTGAAAATCGATACATATTGTATGATGCAATGTGGTATATATTGATACTTTGAACCTTTGACTGTTTGGTTGCACTGCAATTTTAATTGTATTGGTACAAATGCATGAGAGTGCAAATGAAAAAAAATATAAATTCTTGTTTAATTTTATTTTGGGTTTTACTTTATTTTCTTTGTCTTAATTTACTTCGGTTGTACTCGATAGTTGATACCATTGAATTGGACAAAATGGTTTTATTTACTGTTTTGCTTATGCCTTTCCTTTGCCTTTTTCCGTGTAGATATTCTAAGGGACAAACCCTTTGTTTAAGTTGGTGTCTAGGGAAGGGGAAAAAGAAGTAGAGGAAAATCTGCACTCCTTGTTTAAGTTGAGTTGTAAGATTGTGGTTTTCCTTGCTCGGCTGCCCCCCTGGGTGGAAAGCTAGCCCTGTGTTTGTGTTTTCCTCTGTCTTACTTGGTCTCAGATGTTCAACCCGATTATCAGACCCATCCCACTTTGGGTGGAGCGGTTTGCCTAGCTGCGTGATTGTTGTTGGTTTATTGTGAAGGAGCCTAGTGCCTTGGTAGGTGTTTGGGATCGATGAGTTTCCTCAGAAAACATTCCACATCAGTACCATGTCAAAAGTCTGTTTTCTGAGAAAATGTCTGCTGTTTGGTTGGTCGTTTTTTTGAAAAAGTTTTTTCAGACCCGCCTTGAAAATCTAGAAAGATGTGGTATAAGAAAATGCCATTTTTGATGTTTTCTCGTGTGCTGATGTAGCGTTGAAAAACGCCTATATAACAGCAACAACATGGAAAAACATTTTATGAGAAGACGCCTCTCAGAAAACGGCATCAATACCGCCTTTTCTTGATTGTCTCATCTGAATAAACAAAATGGATGGAAGCTTACAATTGAATATATTTCAATTCAACTCAATTAAGCCTTGCCCCAACTCAATTCAACTCATTTAACCTAAAAAGTTTAAGCAATTAGGTGAGGTCTTTGAATAAAATTTTCTTCTCTTACATGCCCCCTCATGCTAAAGGTTATGGCTTAAGCGTGTATAAGCAAAGGCCCATCCATACCTTGTCCTCAAATGCTGAAATTTAATTAATTATAGTGGTAGTGGTGAGGATCAATCACTACACTTGATCAAATAGGCTCTAATAGGATATGTTACGTAAAGTCCCTGAATAGGTTTTTATTTTCTAAAAACGCCATTACCCTCTTTTTCACCTTAAGAAGATTTGTTTTGTTAACCATTTTATTACTATAGATCTGTTTAAAATTATGAACTCAATAGCTTCAATAGGAGTTCGGATTCGCTCCTCATCGAGCGAGCCCATGGTTTAAAATTTTGATACGATACACCCGATATGAGGTGTGTCGTATCATATCTTTGAAAAACAGATATGAATACACATGGAAATTGATCATTTTATCTTTTTTCATGTGTATCGGACCCGTATCAAGGGTGTATTGGTAGTGTATCGGTGAAAAAGATACGACAAAAAACTGAAAAAGAAAAATAAAGGGGAAAACAAGTTTCTTTTCCCTGAAATAATGCTCCTTTCACTCCTAAATTACTCTAAATCTCCAAACCTCATTCCTAGAGTGCTAGATTTACAAAAATTTGCAAGAAACAAGTATGAATTGTTAATTTTTTTTAAGATTTCTCAAATTTTGAAAAAAATGGCAAAAATAGGTACATTTTTTCAAATTTTTATAACATCTTGAATGTTTAAATTTATGTTGATCTACATTTCCTACATTCAAAATCATATTTTTTTTTTGGTGTTATCAGTAGATTTATGAAAATTTCACGAAGATATTTGGGGAAAATATAAATTAACAAAAAATTTGAAAATATGATTTTTTTGTTCTATCGATAAAGACTAAATATGTTTTAGATCTATAGATTTATCTATTATATCCATAAAGCAATTGAAAGTTATTCTTTAATATATTTTTGGACGGAGTACTGGAAAACTATTTGATCTAATTATTCATTTAGAACTTCTAGCATGATTTCTTTAACACTAGAAACAAAAACATATATACCTGAAGAAGTTCCATATGCCACGACGAATGATCTCCAGACAGGCAACACAATTGTAACTAAGGCTTGCCTATGTAAATTTCTGGGCTTAAAGGGAACCACAGTTTGCATCCACGCAAATCGTAGCAGGACATCTAACACCTGCAACATTGGACGTTAAAGCTATATATGTAAACCAAGTCACAATGCCAGACAAATGATCGATATATATATATATATATATATATATCTATATTAAATAAACCATATGATGCGGTACGAGAAGCTTGTCTCTCAACCACGGGTTCTTAGAGTTACGCTGCAGCAGCCCCCAGTCGATAACAAGGTCCCAGTATGTAGTTGCCACTGCTGAAGTGATTGAGCAGGTCACAGCCAGGATCAGCTATGCCTTTGCCTTCTGCAGGCCGTAAGCTGTTCTCATGGCAACTGCTAGAATTGTCGAGAATATTTTCAGGGCATTGTATCCTTGCAATTTATCCTTCTCTTCGTAGAAGCGGAGGCACTACATTAATTAATTTATGCAGCCAAATTAATGTTAATTTCCAATCAAAATACAATGCAGTTTAATCATGCATATATATATATATATATATATATGACGGGTTGTCACTACTTGTGGTCAAGAGTGAGGACCTACCTGAAGGAACCGACACCAATAAGGGGTCACGGCTACAATGAAATAGAAAGCGTTATAGACACTGCTAACATTGCATCTGT